GCAAGCCCTTCGGAGCGCCCCGGTGAGCTGCCTCCCTGCCTGGGGCCTGGCCGCAGGGAGCACCCTCGCCCTGGCTCCGAGACGCCCTGGCGCAGCGGGCGCTGGCTGGTTTGAGACTGTCCGCGTGTTCCCGTCTTCTCCTCCTGGGTGTGCTTCGCTCACCCGCGACACCCCTTAGCCTGTCCTTCGGAGGTCCTCTTCAGGTCTCCTTCCTCGTGGTCTCCTCCCCAGTGCTGCCCACAAACCTCCATCCTGGGGCGTGTTCGTAACCCCAGTTTCCAGCTTTGAATGGAGTTGAGTAATCAGGGAACTGGATGTGTTGCCGTCTGCTCTTACGGCACCTGCCCCCGAGCCTCTTTCGTTTGGCTGTTGAGGCTTTCTGTTGGAGCTGCGCTCGGCTGTCCCAGGGATCAGGAGGCTGTTGTCTGGAAGAGATGTTCTGTAACGGCATTCACCTCCTGTGCCGACCCCAGAAGGTTCCCCTTGGTAGTCTGGATGTGCCTGCTCGCATCCAGTGCATGTGAAGTCTTTAAGGGGCCATTTGTAGTTTTATTTACAGGAGAAGAGTGAGTTGGTACAAACAGCTACGGTATTTTCTGTAAAATGCATGTGGTACGGGGCGGGGAGTGCGAATGACCAGCAGGATTTACTGTCTCTCACCGGTGAAACTCCCTGGGTGTTTTGTAGGCTTGTCCAGGAGGGAGACATCCTATGTGTTCCAACGTTTGGATACGCCGAGTTTTTAGAAGTAAACGCGGACAAATTCCAAAGGTAGGTGGCAACAAACTATGGCTGTATTACCTGCCTGTTGCAAGAGAAAAGATACTTTTCTACTGTTGACTCTCTTGAAACAAGACAGTTTATTCCGTTCTGACCTGCCCCTGGAGTTTAGAGTTTATCTGCCTGTTATTTTAGGGGGAAGAGGGAAATGTTGGATTATGGAGGGCTGCAGCTAAGAGGGAGGCTTCCCTTAGCTCACTGAAATAGATGTGGAGAGAAGAAAGGAAGAAGAGAGAAAGAAACCGATGGGGGAAAAAGAATGAAGAGGAGGAGGGGGTGGCCTGAGGACAGCCAGTGCCACATAAGGAAAGCACAGTGGAAGCTGGGCTGGTCAATGCGTGACAAACAACAAAGTGTGAATATAAACCCTTACAGTTCATCTTAGAATAACTTTGTTTGGCTGCCAGTTCTGCCTTATTTGGTTTTGCTCGCACGGCTTTGAAACAGTTCTGTGCTAAATGAGAGAAAGCCACCTTTGCATCAGAGTAGAGGTGCTTGCAGCGGGATTTGGCTGGTGTTAATATAAATGCTTCAGCCGTGTCACTGAGGGAGCTGCCACAGGAAGCCAAGGCTTGCGATGCGAAGAATTGCCTTGAGTCATTCATGCAGGGTGTACCAGCGATGTGTAACACTGCTCAGCTCCACTGTGTATTTTAAAATTTTAATAGTTCTATAACAATACTGCAATGAGTATTTTCTAGGCTGTTTCTTGGAGGGAGGCAGGACTATAGGAGGCATAAGTCTTCCATTTGTGCACTAGTAGATTAGCCATGTGGCAAGCCAGAGGAGACAGTAGAGTTCGTGGGACCTAAGGAGCTGTGTTGGTGTGCAAGTGGTGCAATGATTCAGAGGGTGGAGGAAATCCTGGAGGAAACCTCTGCAGATGCCTTAATCTGTCCAGTGGTATATGAATGTAGCAAGAAGTCTTTTTCCTGCAAGGTGTCCAGGGCAGGATGCTTTTAAGACACTTGCGGTATTTGGGCAAGTCCTGGTCTGCAGCCTAGAGGACCCTGCGCTGTAAGGCTTTATACGCTGCGGGCGAATCTCTGCGGAGTTGTAGCGAAGGAAGCGATGGCAGAAGAGAGAATGTCCTGAGCTCTGAGACAGATGAAATAAGGTTAGCGCAGCTGTGCTTGTGGGCTGATGCCACCCGCAGAAGCTGTAACTGTTGACGGTCCTGTTGGTCTGTCTGGCCAGACAGCACAGCGGGGTCTGTAAAGGATCCGTGTGGGTCCTGGGAGAGGGCAGGAGTATCTCTGCTCACCTGTGCCTTTCAGCTGTCTGCTTGTTGACATCTGTGTTGTTCCTGCTTTCAAGATCTTGACTCAACAATTTTGACTGCTTGGTTTTTCCCTTAGGTGGCCAGAGCTTTACTTCAAAGTGAGGAAGGTTTTAGGTGCGGTGGAAGGCGAACAGTCTGAGGGTTACCTGGTGGACACGCAGAACACCTCTCTGTATCTGGTAAGATGTCACTGGAGAGCAGGGAGAGTGTACAGGAGATCTGAGGCTGAGGTTGCACTGTGGGTGATGAAGGTGCCTGTGGAGGCTTGTGTCTCCTGCCACCGAAAAATGCCATTTCAGAACAGACTTTGTCGCTTGGTTTCTGTCTTTTCTCAGGCAGTGGTCCACAGAATGCTATTTTCCCTTCCTCACAGGTGGGTTCAACAAACAGTGCTGTCCCATCTGCCCCAGTCTATAATAGCCACGAGTTCTGGAGCAGTTTGTCTCCCGCTGGGCTTTCTGATGTTGTGAAGCAGCTCTGTGATGCTCTTCGGCCTCACCTGAACAGTCGGTGAGTTACAATTCCTTGTAGCAAGCCCCAGCAGGGCTGGGACCCTGCTCCTTGGTCACCAGGAGAACCACCTGTGTGTTGCAGGGCAAGTGCACTGAGCGGGGCCGGCAGCATTCTCCTCTCAGGGCCAAGCGGCAGTGGGAAACTGATGGCTGTCAGAGCTGCGTGTAGCTGCCTCAACCTCCACCTCTTCAAGGTAATTCCTCCTGTGGTCAGTGGGTTGGTGGATTTACAACATACAAAGAAGTACAGAAATGTTCTTTAAGGTAGCCATGCCAACAACCCCGCTGCCACCGTGGCATGAGGCTACGCAGAAGCTGCATATGGGCAAAAGGAGAGAAGTGTGCTCGGGTGTATATTAGCAGCTCGCTCTGGCATGAATTATGACTGCTGGTGGGCAGAACCTCAGAGCAACCTTTTGGATCAGCCTAAAGGTCTGTCTAGCCCCCTGGCCCGTGTCTGGGACTGGCCAGTAACAGACGCTCGGGAAGAGAGCATAAGCATGAAGAGATGTTGTCTGTGGCGTGTACCCTCCAGTGCTCCGGAATCAGGAATTTAGAGATCTCTTGGCCCAGAGGGTGCGTTTGTACTTTTCTTTACTGACTCTTGCTGTTACTGCTGTTGTCTGATCTGCTTTACAGATACTGCAATACACAGTTGTGTTTCAGCAGACTAACTTCCTACAATTTGATAAGGCACTGAGTTGATGCTATACCCCAGAGAGTGGCAGTAACTAAAATATACTGAGAGAAATGGAAGAGGTGATAAGGGCAGGAATTGCAGTGGCACTGGGTGTTTTCAGTGTCCCCGCACAGACTGAGCAAAAGGCATGTTGGAAAGTGGGGCAGAGATGATGCTGAGATCTTGTCTAGCTGGGTGGGAAGCCTAGGAAAGCAATGCAGCCCTTGGTTTGGTAACAGCATGTGTGCCAGATCTGGTTCAAGATCTCGCAGCCTGTAGAAGAGCTGCCCTGTAACTGTGTTCACATTCACACCCCACCCCCCCACGCCCCCTGCCCAGAGCAAAAAGGCCCCCGGATCTTCCATAACAGTAGTTGTTCTCCATTCAGAAGCCCAACATAAAAATGAGGTTTCTTTAGAAAAAAAGACTCGGCCAAGATAAAGGAAGTGTTATGTCTGTGGAGGTGAATGAGGGGACACCACACCACAACGTAGGCCACTGCATAGATCGTACCAGGATGGGCTTGAGGAAAGTAGGTGGAAGACAAAACAGATGAACACCAGGGGAAGGGCAGTCGCTGGAAACAAGAGGCATCTTTCAAAGGGCACAAACCTGTAGCAGGTTAGAGTGAAGGATAAAGACTCTGGGATGACTTCACCACTCGTGAAGAATACATGTAGTTTTTGCAACGGGGAGTCCTGTCCTGTAAACCTTCAGAAGGTTACTTGAAGATGTTACCAAGCACGTGGTGAAGGTAACTTGACCAACGCAGTCTACTTGGGTTTTGAAAAAGCTCTTTGGGAAACTGAGTGGCGGTGGGATGTGAGTGAAGGTCCTGGCATGGATAAAGTGCTGGTTAAACATTGGGAATGGGATAGGAGTAGTTGGTGAGTCTTCACAATCAGCAGCGGAGCTCTGCAGGCATCTGCACTGGGAGGTCAGAAGTTACCTGGGAAAGGGGGTGAATTCTGATGTGATGGTTTGTTGATAAGTTACTACATGTAAGATTAAAGGGAGACAGACTGTTTTTGGACTAGAGGAGGGCTTTAATGAGACCAAGTGACTGAGGAGTAAAATGTCAGGTAAAATTTACTGTAGTTAGTTGTACATAGAAAATGATAGATTTCAAGTTGACTGTCACCAGTTGGTGTCAAGATTTTGGTTTTATGTCAATGACTCCATAAAGCTTGGGCTCTGTTCTCCATGTGTGTCAAAAATTGGATCACATTTTAGGAAACAAACTGGAGAGTAGATGCTGCTGCTGTGCAGATGCATGTCTTGCCACAGCTTGAATATCTTGCACGGCTCTGGTCTCCCCATTGCAAAAACATAAAGCTGACTGGAAAAAATCAGAGGAGGACACTGGGGAGCACCAGGGTTCTAGACCATTTTCTGTGTGGTGAACAGCTGAACAGGCTTTTCGTCTTGAAAAAGTAGAGAACTTAGGGAGAGTTTGATACAGGTTTACAAAATCTTGTGTGGTCAGCAGAGAGTGGAAAGTGTTTGCTTTTCTCTGTGCCAGGACGAGGCCTGGGGCTGACAGGTGAAGCTAGTGGGAAAAGGCGAGCTAAAGGAGACGATTCTTTGTGTAGGCAAAGAGTATTTGGAGGAGAACTCTACTGTTACAAAACCACATCAGACTGGGAAATCCCTTTTGGTGGGAATGGTAGGTGCCTGGAAAAGTACTGAGGGGAGAGGGTCATGTGTGCTTACCCTGATCTTCCTGCAGCAGCCACTTGTGTTCATGCTTGGAGACAAAATAGCAGGCTAAGTGGACTCTCAGTCTGAACCAGTACAGCTGTTCCTTTGTTTGTACAGCTATGGCTCTACTGCGTAAGCTTCATGGCCAAAATGAGGTCTGGCCCCTGTCTGTCCAGCACTGGAAGTTCTGGGCACGAAGGCAGTCTTCAGTGACTTGTTAAAAATACTGTTTGCCTTCTGCACGCTGCCTTTGTTCACTCTGACAGCCTGGGTGCATCCCGCATATTCTTTGATCTCCTTGAATCTGCAGAGTTAACGTTTGCAAAAGTGAGGGGATTGGAAGTCACGTGGTGACTTTTCTAGGAGAATTTTTGAAACTCTGGAAGGTCTTGGAAGAAGGAGAAAGGTGGAAAGAATAGAGCTGGAAGGTTCCTTTTTGTGGAAGGAAATCATAGGCTTCCTCCTTTTTTGTGGGTATTTTTAGAGTAGACTTTTCTGGTTTTAAAACAGTAAAAAAGTAAACTTTTTTTTGAAAAAGTAAACTTTGAAAAGTAAGCTTTTTCTGATTTAGAGAAAACAAGCTGAGCATTTTGGATATTTGGATTTTCTTCTTCTGTTCAGAAGTTGGGTCCTGTTAAGTTGACATTACTCTCTCTAACTGCTCTTTTCTATCCAAGTAAAAGCCATAGCAGTGGGTCAGTGAGAGAGGCAGATACAGCCTTGGCCAGCTGCCGTGCAGCTCATCTTCTGGACACGATCCTTAGTGGTGCCGAGCTCTTACTCTTCTGCAGATGCGCCGTAGCTCTTGGGATCCGATACAAGGTTGCAGAAACTTCACAGTATCTGCAGATCCATCCGCGTATAGGATGTGTGTGGGAGCGCTGTGGCACTGCTGTGTCCTGGCACGTGGCCTCAGGCCCCAGTGTGATGCTCAAGGCGACACGTCTGGTTTTGGCCTTGTGTGCTGCTTTTAAAGAGTAACACTCTTACTGTTGCAGCTGGAGGTATTCGCTATCCGTCTTATTCTCTTGTCCCAGCTTTTACACTCTCCCCTCCTTTTCTCACTTACTGCAGCGCTCACATTACCATCCCACCTTCCCTTCCTCTGACCGTGCTGCCTGCTCTCCTACCAGGACACAGTAATTCTTCCACACCGTAATCTCCACCGCTTGATGATCAGCAGTTTTTTGTCCTTTCTCTCTGCCCTTCTGCAGATACTGCTGCCGTTTGGCTGTGCCTGCCACAACCCTAACTCCTGTTTTTTTCTGTAGTACATGGAGCACGGGAGTTTGTCTGCTGTGTGTCCCCGTCTTTACCCTTTACGTCAGCTCTTGAGGCTGCGGCGTTCTCCCTGCTCCAAGCTCCTTTTTCCAAGGGTGAGGCCCAGGGAATCCCAGAGGTGGTTTGTCTCTCCTTGCGCAAGCTCGCAGCACCAGGAGGCAGCACTGCCTGTTTCCGGCAGTGTTCAGCTGATGTTCAAGGCTCACCAGTCACCTCCCTTTTGGGTGACTTCATCAAGTGTTTAGTTTGTAAACAGTGTCTGGGCTTCCAGCCACCTCTGACTTCCCCCCTGCCCTCCCCTTACCTTCTACCTTCCTCCTGCACTTTGAGCCTGCATGGCACGGGGTTGAACAGTTTCCCAAGCCTCCCCCTCCACTCTTGGCACTGTTCCTCTGAGACACCTTGTTCTCCCTGTCTTGGCCTCTTCCACAGCTCTCCCATCCCTTCCAGCTTAGGTTGCTGAGCTGCGACATCCACTGTATCGACTCGTCCGGCCCCTTGGCCTCACCTCTTTCGCACAAGACCCTCCTGCCCCCCTCACCTCCTGCAGAGAAGCAAGAAACAGCCATTTTTCCGTGCCAGAGACTCCCAAATATGTCTATTTTGAATAAGTCCTGAATGTGTCTATTTGCTGTTTCTGGGAAACATCCACTTGGATCTTCTTTCAGCTGTGAACTGCCTGTGGAAAGCTGTGTGGAAGTGAATGTTGTCCTGGGTCCCTCAGCTGTCCATGTTGCAACCGCTGCAGACTGTGTGTCGTGTGGTCTTTCTTGCAGGTTGATTGTGTGAGTTTGTGCAGTGACACCAGTGGAGCCACAGAGGAGAAAATACAGATGGCCTTTGCAGAGGCCCAGCAGTATCATCCATGTGTGCTCCTGTTTTTTTGAGGTGCTTGGCAGGGACCGGGACAGGCTAGGAGAGGACCCCAGGGTCATCGCTACTCTGAGACAGCTGCTCCTGGACAGAGACCCGGCACTGAGGTATGGACGCTGCATGTTTGCTGCGGGCATCTGAGGTGGTTTTTTGCTTCTGCCATTCCTAGGGCAGCAATCACCATCACATCAAGGTGACTGATTGCTAACATGCCCTGTTTTGTTTTTAATGCGGTGGAGTCTCTCCCAGACTTGCTTTGTTTATTTCAGAGGGCCCTTGTTCTTCCAGCTTAGTGGCAGAGGCAATCGTAGAATCATAGAATGGGCTGGAAGGGGCCTTATAGATCATCTAGTTCCAACCCCCCTGCCATTGCCGGGGACACCTTCCACTAGACCAGGTTGCTCAAAGCCTCGTCCAGCCTGGCCTTGAACACTGCCAGGGATGGGGCATCCACAGCTTCTCTGGGCAACCTGTTCCAGTGCCTCACCACCCTCATACTAAAGAATTTCTTCCTCATACCTAATCTAAACCTACCCTCTTTCAGCTTGAAGCCATTACCCCTTGTCCTATCACTACATGTCCTTGTAAGAAGTCCCTCTCCAGCTTTCTTGTGGTCCTCCTTCGGGTACTGGAAGGCTGCGATAAGGTCTTTCTGGAACCTTCTCTCCTCCAGGCTGAACAGCCCTGACTCTCTCAGCCTTTCCTTATAGGAGGGTGCTCCATCCCTCTGATCGTTTTTGTGGCCTCCTCTGGACCCGCTCCGACAAGTCCATGTCTTTTCTGTGCTGAGGGCTCCAGAGCTGGATGCAGGACTCCAGGTGGGGTCTCACCAGAGCAGAGCAGAGCAGAGGGGCAAAACCACCTCCCATGCCCTGCTGTCCACACTTCTTTTGATGTAGCCCAGGATATGGCTGGCCTTCTGGGTTACATGCGCACATTACTGGATCGTGTTTTTTCTCATCAACCAGCACCCCCCAAGTTCTCTTCAGGGCTGCTCTCAGTCCATTCTCTGCCCAGCCTGTATTTGTGCTTGGGAATGCCCTGACCCATGTTCAGGACCTTGCACCTGGTTTTGTGGAACTTCATTGAGGTTTGCACAGGCCCACCTGCCAAGGTCCCTCTGGATGGCGTCCCTTCCCCTTAGCGTATCGACCGCACCACACAGCCTGGTGTCATCGGCAAACTTGCTGAGGGTGCACTCAATCCCGCTGCCCATGTTGCAGACAAAGATGTTAAATAGCGCCCTGAGGAACACCACTTGTCACTGATCTCCACTTGGACATCGAGCCGTTGACCACAACTCTTTGAGTGCAACCGTCTGGCCAATTCCTTATCCACTGAGTGGTTTGTCCATCAAATCCATGTCTCTCCAGTTTAGAGACAAGGATGTCGTGCGGGAAGATGTCAAATGCTTTGCTCAGGTCCAGGTAGATGATGTCGGTTGCTCTTGCCTTATCCACCAGTGCAGTAACACCGTTGTAGAAGGCCACCAGATTTGTCAGGCACAATTTGCCCATGGTGAAGCCTTGTTGGATGTTGCCAGTCACTTCCTTATTTTCCATGTGCTTTAGCATAGTTCCCAGGAGTATCTGCTCCATGATCTTGCCAGGCACAGAGGTGACACTGACTGGCCTGTAGTTCCCTGAGTCTTCCTTTTTATCCTTTTTAAAAATGGGGGTTATGTTTCCCCTTTTCCAAACACTGGGAGCTTCCCCGGACTGCCATAACTTCTCAAACATGATGGATAGTGGCTTGGCAACTTCATCCGCTGGTTCCCTCAGGACCCGCAGATGCACCTCAGGAATCGGGAAGCTTTGTTGCCAGAAGCTGGTTTCTGAGTTGTTCAGGTGGGCAAACCTGGAGTGTTGGCTGTGAGGCATGCCAGGAGTCACAGGGACCCCGGAAGGGAGCTGGACCCCAGGAGAATCTTGAGGCTGATCACAGGTACCAGGGTGCAGGGAGGGAGACATCAAGTGAAGAAATCAGATGTCACTGGAAGGGCCTTGACTTGGAGACAGAGCTCCCAAAGCAGTTCAAGGGCAAACTGGAGGCATGTGGCTGCGAGACACCTTGGCCAGAATGTGTGCATTTCTCAGAGAAGGGCTAGCTATTGGAGCGGGACTTGGCATGGATGGTGGCAATGTAAGAGGGAAACTTCCAACATTCAAGCTCAGGTTGGGCGGGGCTCTGAGCAGCCTGATCTAGTTGAAGATGTCCCTGCTCATTGCAGGGGAGTTGGACTAGATGACCTTTAAAGGTCCCTTCCAACCCAAACTATTCTATGAGTCTGTGACAGAGCTGACACCATGCGCTGTCCTGTCCCCCTTTTCTCAACAGCCACCCTGTCCTGGTGATCGGCACAACCTGCAAGCCCCAGGATGTCCCTGCAGACGTGCAGACTGCTTTCCTTCACGAGGTGAAAATCGAAGCCCTTTCAGAAGAGCAGAGGAGGTTGATGCTGAGTTTGCTGCCTGGCAGCCTGCCTCTGGGCAAAGAAGTGAGCCTGTCCAAGCTGGCCCGCAGGACTGCAGTGAGTGAAACCACAGCACCGCGTGGGGATGGGCAGGCCGGGAGCACTGGGCCAACCTCCTCCCCTACCTGGCCATGCTGAAAGGGGACAATTCCCACAGCACAGTGGACTTCTTCAGTGGTTAACCCTGGTCCTCAGACATCACCTTTAACTGCAGATTTCTTGTGCCTAAGGACTGCACATCTTTTGCAGAGGTGTTGGTCTAGCTCTGCTAGAAGACAGAGCCTATATATATATATATGTATAAAAAAAAAATCTAGAGCCTCTAACCAGGGCACAGAAGCTCAAAGAACAGCTCTGCGAGAACTTTTTCGCCACGCACGGCCTAGCTGGAGCTGTGGTCAGGGACTGAACTGATGCTGTTTGTTTCTGCATTCGCAGGGTTTTGTGCTGGGAGATTTCTGTGCCTTGTTGTCCCACAGCAGCCGGGCTGCTTGTACCCGCATCCAGGCCTTGAGGTAGCACAAGGCAACAGGGCAGGAGGCAGGGGAGGGCAAGGGGCTGCACCCAGCCTGAGAACGCCAGGAGTGGGGCAGAGCCTGAGTCCTTCCCTTCTCTTTCCTCATCAGTTTTCCAGGTGGACTGAGTGAGGAGGTGGAGAGAGATTTTTGCACTGCTGGGTTCCCGGTGCTTGAGGAGGATTTTAGTGTTGCGCTGGACCAGCTGCACGACGCCCATTCACAGGCAGTGGGAGCCCCGAAGGTAGGATGCTGGGGCAGGGGAGGGGGGTTGGTTCTCTAGAGCCTGTGTGGCTCAAGACACCTCTCACAGACCTCGCCAGACGGGGCTGTGCTCTGGCACGTCGCTCCTGCTGCGTCCTTCCACGTATTCCCCCAGCCTTGGGTGGGAAACAGTCCCGCTGTGGGCTTTCCCCCACGAGTGCTTTTCACCCTCTTGGCTTTGAACTTGGTTAGGGAAGCCCTTGCCGCTCTAGCTGGAGACGGCTCAGCTGGCTTGTGCCATAGGGCTGCCAGCTGTGTAGCTCAGCCTTCTGAGAGGCAAAGGCAACCGCAGGCTGGCTGCCTCCCTGGGGTCTCTCCAGCCGCCTGGCATCTGGGAACAGTGAGGCTGGGGCGTAAGCTGGTGAGAGAGTTTCCCCATGTGTGTGAGAAGCCTTATACTTGATCCCAGCCTTGGAGGCTGCTCGAGCTGGCACGGGCTTTTCTGACAGCCGGGCGATTTGAAGAGTTGGGTGTTCTTCAGGGAGAGGAACGTGGGGTGTCAGACAAAACGAGCAGTCACCTTCCTGGGAGTGGCGTGATCTGCCTCTGGCAGCTCGGCACCCAGGGAAGCAGCTTTTGGGGTGGCTGTTTTTGCTGGGTAACGTGCTGTTAGGACCAAGTGAAGTGATCAGAGCCTCTTCTCCACACCTGCGAGCGTGAATGACTGCACTCAGTACAACAGGGCATGAAATGCTGGCCTTGGAGCAGTTCTTCTGGGGCTTTCCCCAGCTGCCCTCTTGCAGTCCTGCCCTAGCAGGGTGACACCTTGGTGGTGTGATCGCCCGGGAGCTATTCTGGGACTTAATTCATTCAGAAATTTACCAGAGACTGAAATGAGCTCTGCTTTGAGGCCTGTTTGCCGAGTTCGCTAAAAGACAAATAATATCCACAGAGCATGCTCGGCAGCGAGCTGTGTGAATGGGAGCTAATTTTGTTTATATTTGACAATCCTATATTGGTTTCTTAGTAATTGGCTGTGGTTCAGAAAGCCCATTAGCAGACCTGGATACTCTCAACATATGTAACTTTCAATTCCCTGCTTGCATATTCTAGTTAGTCACACATTTGTTTCCAGTTACAGCTTGAGCCTCCTAGAGAGAACTAATTGCAAACCTCCCGTTCCTAGCAGTGTCTGCAACATGTCCTAGACTTACGATGCCCCTGAAAACAACCTTGCTGCAGTTTTCCAAGCAAGGAAACGTCTGTAGAGCTTTTCCTAGTGAAGCAGTATAAGCAAGAGTGCAGGGGAGAGGGCAACCCTTCCATTCACCAGCACTGAAGAAGGAGGGCCTGTGACCTTTTGCTTTAAAAGATTTTTTTTTTTTCCTGGAAATCCTTATCTTGCCTGACCTGATTTTCCTGGTGGACTTGCTGGACAGCTGGAGAAATAGCATGAGATAATATCATCTCAAGTAGTGAAGGAAGGAGAACCAAATTGGCTGAGGGGGAAAAAAATTTTGCTCTGGACTATTTTTAAGCTCCCCGCTTGTGCTGGCACCTGTTCCCCGCCCAGCCAGCAGCTGGGGGGAAGTGTTCTGGGGCTTTGCATTCTCTGCGTGTTCCCTCCCATGCAACCTGTGGCATCCCTGCTATTTCTGGAGCTGCGAGCAGAGCAGCAGCATCCTCCAAGACTATTTTGCTCAGCATAAAATAACAGAAGTGGCATGGCTCACCCCTCTCACATTTGCTGTCTTTCCTCTCTTTGCAATGATCCCTTGCGTGTTTGCAGTTGACCCCGTCCCTGTCTATTTCTTGTAAGCATCCATGGACTTTGTTCTTGCATCCCCCCCTTTCAGAAGCAGCTGGTTTTCCGTACAGCATCCTCCAGCATGTCTGTGTCTCACATCCTGCTTCGCGTGACAGAGGTTCCTGGTAGCCCAGGCTTTGTCACTCTCATGTGAAGCCCTTACAGAGTTTCACTGCCCTGGGATTCAAGGTGCCCTGAACACAAGTAGCTCGTAATTGCTAGGTCCAGGTTTCTTTTTCTTTTTTCTTCTTTCTTATTTTTACCTTCCCTTTTGTGTCCCAAGGGCTGTCTGCAGCAGGGCTCTCTCCCCACAGAGCTGCAGGCAACCCTGGTAGATACTTTCTGTGGGGTACTTTTGCGGACTGGTGATGTGAGGTGCAACGGAGGATTGGAGACGAGACAGTTTGCCTGGGGACACATGCAGTTTGTTTTCCCCATTGCAACGCTCAGGAGCAGGAAAACGGGGCTGCTGGGGATCTGGCAGCAGGGATGTCTGTGCGGCGCAGTGTGGGGCTGACTCCCTGTGTAGCCACACACAGCTGACGGCGCAAGGGGCTGATGTCTGGTACCCCACTGGAGCAAGAGCTGCGCAGGCCTGCTCGGGGCTCAGGAAGAAGTGCTGACACGGACTCTCCCTCTCTTGGCAGATCCCCTCCGTGTCCTGGCAGGATGTTGGTGGGCTCCAGGAGGTGAAGAAGGAGATCCTGGACACGATCCAGTTGCCTCTGGAGCACCCGGAGCTGCTGTCGCTGGGTCTGTGCCGCTCTGGTCTGCTGCTGTACGGGCCTCCAGGGACAGGGAAGACCTTGCTGGCAAAAGCCGTGGCAACCACATGCGCCATGACGTTCCTTAGGTGAAGAATGGCGGGTCATGCAGTGGGACTGACTTTCTCCTGGCAGTGGATGGGAGTGCTCTAACTGACTCCTCCTTCTCCCTGCCCCACAGCGTGAAAGGGCCAGAGCTCATCAACATGTACGTTGGGCAAAGCGAGGAGAACGTGCGTAATGGTGAGTGGACACGTCCTGCTCCTGCATGTGGGAAGATGGGGCTTTTCTGTGCTTCTGGAGGGAAGGAGGTAGTGCTTAAACGCCTCATCCCAACTCCCACCCACAGCTGCCAGCAGGGACACAAACCCATCTCCTACACCCAGTCTGTTCCCTGCCTCGCTGCAGCTTCCCCTTCTGCTCTCTCTGCTCCTGTCACTCTTGTCCTTGGTGTTCCTGATGGGACAGCGGCCCCTCAGAGACACAGCTGAGCCTCGGGGCCCATTGTGCTGGGTGCTGCCTGTCCCTGCTCCCGCTGAGCCTCTCAGGCAGGAGCAGTTAGTGGTGGTGAGGCAGTGGGCAGCTGCTTTCCATCCACATCGCTTCCCTGCTGGTGATGTAGCAGGTCACGTTGCTGTGGACCTCCAGGTCTTTCTCAACTTGTGTGCTCTCTCCTCCCAGTGTTTGCCAGAGCCAGAGCAGCTGCTCCTTGCATTATCTTCTTTGATGAACTGGATTCCCTGGCCCCTAGTCGTGGACGGAGTGGAGATTCAGGGGGCGTCATGGACGGGTGAGCGAGCATCATGCATCCTTGGGAGAGCAGCGTACCTGCGTCGGCTGGGGGGGTGGATGCACAGGATTGCCCTGCGAGGCAGAGGCCATCCCAACTCTTTTTCCTTTGCTGCTCCCTTCAGTTCCTCTGCATGGCCTGTCTCCTCTCTCTGGACATCAGTACTGCTGTTTGCGTTGCCACAGATTGCCCAAGCTTGTTGTGCAAACATTTGGTTAAGACAGAGTCTCGTCCAGCTGCTTCTGTGGCTGCTGGCTGCTCCCTTTGGCCTTTCCAAGGTCATCTTTCACACCCCTGCCGTGCTCTCCTCCTATTAGCTGCTGTTTCGCTGCGGTGGGAAATCTTCCAGCTGCCTCTGAAGCCAAGTATGCACAGCTTGGAGATACCCAGGAACAGGGTTATTTCCCCCAGGCCTCTTCTGCTGAGCTGATAGTCTCCATCCAGTCTTCCTCTCCATCCATGAGGGGTTCTGCAGAATTTTCCAGTGACAGCATGGGTCCCCAGCGTCCATCTTCACACACGCCGCACACACGAAGCAGCAGCTGTGGAAGGGGCTGTGTGTGGTGCCCATTGGTCGCCTCAGGTGATCCCAGAACCTGGTGGAGATATCCCCATTCCAGGTCTGTGCAGCTCTGAAGTACTGTGCTGCCAGACCGGCTTAAGCCCCGTGGCCGCAGAACTTGATCTGCAACGTGTGCCGTTCACCACCCTGAGGACTGGTTGGCAGCACCGCTGGCCTGCCAGGGTGTCCCCAGCATGAACTGGCAGGGTGGTCTTGCAGCTGAACTTGTACCACGTAGCAGGGAGAGTTAGGACCAGCCAGCACATCCGAGTGGGGAACCCGAGCCATAGCTATGCGTGCCTGCCTGTGTTTGGTCTGTGTTGCTGGTGTCTGACAGCAAGTGTAAGCACGTGTGGCCATCCTGGAAGGGTTTGGAGCCAAGCGCAGGCCTTGAAGGACTCTCTTGGCACCAGGGGTTTGCACTCACTTTGCAATGAGCCCGCGGGCTCACTGCCTGCGCTCAGATGGAGAAGTCTGTATGGCTGCGTCAGGGCTCTGCAGGGAAGAGAAGTATGAGCCGAAGTCCAAGACGTGGGGGCTGCCGGTGGCCTCGCTTATTCCCCTTTTCATTTTGTGGCTGAAAGTGACTGGGTGACTTGCCAAGGCCTAGCTGTGAGCATTCTGTCTTGTTCCCTGCAGAGTTGTCTCACAGCTCCTGGCTGAGCTTGATGGCCTTCACTCCACCAGAGAGGTGTTTGTCATTGGAGCTACGAACAGGCCTGACCTCCTGGACCCAGCTCTGCTCCGGCCGGGCAGGTATGTCGCATCCTACCCTGCCTCGCTCCAGGGCAGTTCCCCAGATCTCCTCAGGCAGCAATGGGCATGACTGTGTCCCCAACACATTAGCTGTGCAGAGACTGTTCCTAAAGCCCCCCCCGACCCTGGTTTGGGGGGTAGATAGAAAGCCAAGAGGAGGCCAGCGCCTATGGCTGTAGCAGCAGCACAAGATACCACTGCTTGTTACCCCACCGCTCTGGTTGTTGCCCCAGCAGCACAGCAGGGCAATAAGGGACCTGCCATGGCACCAAACTGGTGGGAGGAATTGGTCCCCCAGGGCCTGTTCTGCAGAGCTCTGCTCCCTCCAGCGTGCCCTCATACCTGCGGCTTGCCCATCCTGGGGCAGGACTTTCTGCCTGCTGTTGTTGGACCTCATGTGGTTCCTGTCAGCCCGTTTCTCCAGCCCACCCTGGTCCCTCTGAAGAGCAGCCCTGCCCTCCAGCACATGGACTGCTTCACCCCCAAGCTTTGTATCATCCACAAACTCAGCAGCAAGAGGAGCTGCCCCAGGGCCACCCTTCAGTTTCTGGTGCACAGCGCTGAGCATCAGTGGCAGGTTTGTCCTGGCCTGTTGTCAAGTGTCTCTTCTCTCTGCCGACAGGTTTGACAGGCTGGTCTATGTGGGCATAAACGAAGACCGAGAGTCGCAGATGCAGGTGCTGAGCGCCGTCACCAGGAAGTGAGTGACCCTGTGCTCTCGCAGCGGCCTTCCACCACCCTCCAGTGGGTTGCAGTCTTCCTGGGGTCTATGCATAGTGTGCTTCAGCTTGGCTTCGTATCCGAGCCCTGGGGAGCACCTCAGTCACTGACCCATAGCCAGCAGGTAGGGGAAGAGGATGGGGCAACTTCCAGAAGCAGAACTGGGGCTGGTTTTCATACAAGATGGGAGCAGCTCAGCTGGCTGTCCAGGTGAAGGCATTGGTAGAGTTCTGCGGTCACCATGTGCTTCTTGAGGAGCTCAGGCATATGGTGTGATGAGACTGCAGCGCACCAACATGGCAGGAAGCTCCCATTTGCTTCCTGTAAGAGTTCCTCTAGCACATCTGCTGCTATTTCCAGGTCCAAGGGTGAAGGCAGCTCTCTTCTTCTCACTGCCTTTCCTCCTGCGATGCTGCGGGGTGTTCAGCCCGTGCTCTGTGCGTCTTTCCAAACACTGGTTGTGTGGGATCACCGAGCAGCGGGGTTTGGCTGCTTCCCCAGGTGCTCTGAGCTCCCGACAGCATCCCTGGAGGGAGAAAAGCCAGCCCTGCAATTCAGGTGCGGAGGTACCACCCACCACAGCTGGGTGAGCACCTGTGAATCTGCCTCTGCAGGGACATTCTGTCAGGGATAGCTGTGGTCGCTGCTGCCTTTGACGATGACCTAGCAGGAGACGTGAGAGCGTGGGCTGGCAGCGAGCACCTCTTCACGCCGTGTGGCTTGGCAAACACACCCTCCAGCACCGTGCTGCTGTGCGTGCTGAAGGAGGCTCGCTGTCTGCAGCGTGGCTCTGATGGGATGGCTGGGTGTTACAGTGGTTTGTACTGTCTGTAATTAAACATGTTCTTATCCAGCCCTGGCTGCAGGCTGTTCCCAGGTGTGTGGAACACTTAATTTCTCTGAGTGAGAACTCAAAGTTGCCTTTGATCCTGCTGAGCAGGAGAGAGGGCCTCCCTGCCAGGATGTTTCAAAGAGAAGTGACTGCGTTGAAAAAACCCACCCCACCCCCTTTTGTTTTTTTTTTTTTTTTTTTTTTTTGAGCATGCAGAGCACAGTCCAGAAGGGGCTAAACGTGGGGCCTCTGACTCCTCCTGCCCACTCATGCTGGCTACCGTGTCTCTCCTGGTCTGGTTTTATTGTGGCTTTCACACCTACAGTTTTCTCTCTTGGCAGGTTTAAACTGGATCCTTCTGTGAATCTTGCCACCGTTTTAGAAAAATGCCCAGCTCAGCTGACAGGAGCAGACATCTACGCCCTGTGCTCAGACGCCATGATGTGCGCCGTCAAACGCAAGGTGGAATGGATCGAGGAAGGTAGGAGCCCAGCCCCTACCGGCCCCACGTGTTGGGGCGGCCCAGCACGGGGGCAGAGAGGAGTGTTGCCACCACCGATAACTGGGCTTTGTGGGAAGAGCCTTGGTGGCTTTGGGACCAGGTTTGAATGCTAGGCTCTGGGTTACTGGCAGACCCCCAGTTTCTGCGGATGTGGTGATCTGCACCTCCAGTGCTTAGCTCCGGAGGGAAGGAGAGAGACACAGGTTTTCACTCCGGTCTCCAGTGGCTGGAGAGAGGGCTGTTGGATTGTGCCAGCCTGCAGCCAGACCCTGCGCTTGGCTCTCAGCCTTTCCCTGTTCTCTCTCTCGTGCAGGGCTGGATACCGAGAGCTCTGCTCTGATCCTGACCATGGAAGACTTCCTGCAGGCTGCTGCGAGGTTGCAGCCGTCAGTCTCTGAGCAGGAGCTGCTCAGGTACAGACTCATCCAGCAGAAGTTTGCCGCGCGCTAGTGCTCAGCAGAGCCGGGACTGGGGGAGCGACGGGGATGCTGTGTTTGTTCAGGGGTGCGCGAGAACTGGCACACACACACACACAGGCACCCGCCTGCTCTTCTCTGGTGTCGCCCGGGCCCCCTTCTGCTGAGCTTGAGTGAAAAAGCGGCTGCGCGTTTTCTGGAGTGCCGCTGCTGCAGCTGGCCGCGGCTCGACGTGGTCCCTCTGAATCAATACAGGTTTTCGGCACTGGGTATTCTCTGCCTGGCCTGGGGTCGTTGCTTGCTGCTGGTGTCCGTGGGGCTCGGGAAGGTCCCCATGAGCCCTGTGGCATGCTGGGTGTTGCAGAGAAACCAGTGTCCTGCAGGTAGAGGGGGGAAGCCCACGGCGGATGAGGAGAGGCCAAGGGAGTGGGGCGAGCTGAGCTGCCTCTGCAGAGGGAGCCCGGTTCTCCCCGGAGGCTCTGGGTGACAGGACAAGAGGCCAGGGGGGAAAGCGGCAGCGAGGGAATCTCCCACTGGGTACGAGGAAGGCCTTGTCAGGGGGAGAGGGAAGGCTCCAGCCTTGGGAATACTCAGCCCTTGGCCGGAGCAGCCCAGAGGTGCCGTGCGTGCACTGAAGGCC